TAAATGGGGATCAACCAAATCCTGCCTCAGATGTCTATAGTGTGAATAAAATCCTGTCCCTCTTTGAAATGATTTTTTCCCATCCATCCAATGTCATTCTACTGAATCCATCCATCCATCAAGTTGAATAAACCAATCCAGTACATGTGTTCCGTCTATTATCCTAATATTCGTTATACAAGACTTTCCGATATTAATCCATCCACCTAAAATGGGGATCAAATCCTTCCCTATTCCATATAGTAATAATTTGATCCCATGGAAAAAAAGTTAATATCAATTTATGCATATTATGTATCCAATCTCCCCACAGTCAAATGGGATCAATTTTCTATTGTTATCGATCCCAGTAATTTAATATAATCCAAAAAATATTTGTCCAAGTCTAATATCAATTTTCATTTTCGTCCATCCATCCAATTCCACCTCCTTAGACAATGGGATCAATTTTCTATTGTTATCAAAAAATAGTAATTTGATCCCTGTGGAAAAAAAATGATTAATATACAATTTATACATATATTAATATCCAATTCTCCTAGACAGTATCCAATTTTCTTGTTATCAAGTAGTAATTTGATCCCTGTGGAAAAAAATGATTAATATACAATTTATACATATATTAATATCCAGTCTCCTAGACAGTAAATGGGGATCAATTTTTCCATCCCTATGGAAAAAAATGATTAATATACAATTTATACATATATTAATATCCAATTCTCTAGACAGTAAATGGGGATCAATTTTTCTATTGTTATCAAATAGTAATTTGATCCCTGGGAAAAGAAATAATATACAATTTATACATATATTAATATCAATTCTCCTAGACAGTAAATGGGGGATCAATTTTTCATTGTTATCAAGTAGTAATCCCTGTGGAAAGAAATAATTAATATTTTTTTTTTATATTTTTTTCCTGATCCTGGGGATCCAATCCAATTTATACATATATTAATATCCAATTCTCCTGAACCAAATGGGGGAAAGAATTTTCTATTGTTATCAAGTAGTAATTTGATCCCTGTGGAAAAGAAATGATTAATATACAATTTATACATATATTAATATCCAATTCTCCTAGACAGTAAATGGGGGATCAATTTTCTATTGTTATCAAGTAGTAATTTGATCCCTGTGGAAAAGAAATGATTAATATACAATTTATACATATATTAATATCCAATTCTCCTAGACAGTAAATGGGGGATCAATTTTCTATTGTTATCAAGTAGTAATTTGATCCCTGTGGAAAAAAATGATTAATATACAATTTATACATATATTAATATCCAATTCTCTAGACAGTAAATGGGATCTATTGTTATCAAGTAGTAATTTGATCCCTGTGGAAAAGAAATGATTAATATACAATTTATACATATATTAATATCCAATTCTCCTAGACAGTAAATGGGGGATCAATTTTCTATTGTTATCAAGTAGTAATTTGATCCCTGTGGAAAAGAAATGATTAATATACAATTTATACATATATTAATATCCAATTCTCCTAGACAGTAAATGGGGGATCAATTTTCTATTGTTATCAAGTAAAATGTAATTTGATCCCTGTCTGATTAATATACAATTTATACATATATTAATATCAATTCTCCTAAAATGTAAATGGGATATCATCCATTTTCCTAGTAAATGGGGATCAATTTTCTATTGTTATCAAATAAGTAATTTGATCCCGTTGATTATATACAATTTGTATATTAATATCAATTCCCCAGACAAAATGGGGATCAATTTTCTATTGTTATAAGTAGTAATTTGATCCCTGTGGAAAAGAAATGATTAATATCCAATTATACATATTAATATCCAATTCTCCTAGACAAAATGGGGATCAATTTTCTATTGTTATCAAGTAGTAATTTGATCCCTGTGGAAAAAATGATTAATATACAATTTATACATATATTAATCCAATTCCTCTAGACAGTAAATGGGGATCAATTTTCTATTGTTATCATAGTAATTTGATCCTATGGAAAAAAATGATTAATATACAATTTATACATATATTAATATCCATTCTCCAAGACAGTAAATGGGGGATCAATTTTCTATTGTTATCAAGTAGTAATTTGATCCCTGTGGAAAAATGATTAATATACAATTTATACATATTAATATCCAATTCCAATCCTAGACAAATGGGGGATCAATTTTTCTTGTTATCAAGTAGTAATTTGATCCTGGAAAGAAAAGAATTAATATACAATTTATACATATATTAATATCCAATTCTCCTATCTAAATCAATTTTCTATTGTTATCAGTAGTAATTTGATCCTGGGGAAAAGAAATGATTAATATACAATTTATACATATATTAATATCCATTCTCCCTAGATAAAATGGGGGATCAATTTTCTATTGTTATCAAGTAGTAATTTGATCCCTATGGAAAAATAAATGATTAATATACAATTTATATATATATTAATATCCAATTCTCCTAGACAGTAAATGGGGGATCAATTTTCTATTGTTATCAAGTAGTAATTTGATCCCTGTGGAAAAGAAATGATTAATATACAATTTATACATATATTAATATCCAATTCTCCTAGACAGTAAATGGGGGATCAATTTTCTATTGTTATCAAGTAGTAATTTGATCCCTCAAATGATTAATATACAATTTATACATATATTAATATCCAATTTCCTAGACAGAAATGGGGATCAATTTTCTATTGTTATCAAGTAGTAATTTCATCCTGTGGAAAAGAATTTTATGGATAAATATCCAATTCCTAGAAATATCAATTTTCTATTGATATATCCTGTGGAAATTTAATATACAGATATTTAATATCCAATTCTCCTAGACAGGAAATGGGGATCAATTTTCTATTGTTATCAAGTAGTAATTTGATCCCTGTGGAAAAGGATTAATACAATTTATACATATATTAATATCAATTCTCCTGGACAGGAAATGGGGATCAATTTTCTATTGTTATCAAGTAGTACTTTGATCCCTATGGAAAGAAAGATTAATATACAATTTATACATATATTAATATCCAATTCTCCTGGACGGAAATGGGGATCAATTTTCTATTGTTATCAAGTAGTAATTTGATCCCTCAGAAAAGAAATGATTAATATACAATTTATACATATATTAATATCCAATTCTCCTAGACAGGAAATGGGGATCAATTTTCTATTGTTATCAAGTAGTAATTGATCCTATGGAAAAAGAAATGATTAATATACAATTTATACATATATTAATATCCAATTCTCCCAAGACAGGAAATGGGGATCAATTTTTCTTATGTTATCAAGTAGTAATTTGATCCCTATGGAAAAAAAATGATTAATATACAATTTATACATATATTAATATCCAATTCTCCTGGACGAAATGGGGATCAATTTTCTATTGTTATCAAGTAGTAATTTGATCCCTGTGGAAAAAAAATGATTAATATACAATTTATACATATATTAATATCCAATTCTCCCCTGACAGTAAATGGGGGATCAATTTTCTATTGTTATCAAGTAGTAATTTGATCCCTATGGAAAAAATGATTAATATACAATTTATACATATATTAATATCAATTCTCCTGACTTATCAAATAGTAATTTGATCCTATGGAAAAAGAAATGAATAATATACAATTTATACATATATTAATATCCAATTCTCTGGATAGTAAATGGGATCAATTTTCTATTGTTATCAAGTAGTAATTTGATCCCTGAAAAAGAAATGATTAATATACAATTTTATATATATATTAATATCCAATTCTCCTAGACGGGAAATGGGGGATCCAATTTTCTTGTTATCAAGTAGTAATTTGATCCCTGTGGAAAAGAAATGATTAATATACAATTTATACATATATTAATATCCAATTCTCCTGACAGTAAATGGGGATCAATTTTCATTATTATCAAGTAGTAATTTGATCCCTATGGAAAAAAAATGATTAATATACAATTTATACATATATTAATATCCAATTCTCCTGGACAGGAAATGGGGATCAATTTTCTATTGTTATCAAGTAGTAATTTGATCCCTATGGAAAAAAATGATTAATATACAATTTATACATATATTAATATCCAATTCTCCTGGACAGGAAATGGGGATCAATTTTCTATTGTTATCAAGTAGTAATTTGATCCCTGTGGAAAAAAATGATTAATATACAATTTATACATATATTAATATCCAATTCCAGACAGGAAATGGGGATCAATTTTCTATTGTTATCAATAGTAAATCCCTGGGAAAAAGAAATGATTAATATATATTAATATTACAATTTAGACATATATGGGGGATCAATTTTCTATTGTTATCAATTCTCCCTTAGGAAAAGAAATGATTAAATGGGATCAATTTTCTATTGTTATCAAGTAGTAATTTTCCCTATTGGAAAAATGAAATGATTAATATTGATTTTATAAAAAGAAAATTTTTCTATTAATATACAATTCTCCCAATTCTCCTAGACAGGGGAAATGGGGATCAATTTTCTATTGTTATCAAGTATTAATTTGATCCTACAAAAGAAATGATTAATATACATTTATACATATATTAATATCCAATTCTCCTGGACAGTAAATGGGGATCAATTTTCTATTGTTATCAAGTAGTAATTTGATCCCTTGATTAATATACAATTTATACATATATTAATATCCAATTCTCCTAGACAGTAAATGGGGATCAATTTTCTATTGTTATCAAATAGTAATTTGATCCTGTGGAAAAAATGATTAATATACAATTTATACATATATTAATATCCAATTCTCCTAGACAGGAAATGGGGATCAATTTTCTATTGTTATCAAGTAGTAATTTGATCCCCATGGAAAATATGTCCAATTCAATTTTCTAATATCACAATTTATATACAATATATTAATATCCAATTCTCCTAGACAGGAAATGGGGGATCAATTTTCTATTGTTATCAAGTAGTAATTTGATCCCTGTG